TGTGTGTGTGTGTGTGTGTGTGTGTGTGTGTGTGTGTGTGTGTATGAAGTTGATTAAGTAGTAGGCTTTCATAGCACTTCTTAAGATATTCTTAACATTAGTTATCCTTCCTTCTCTGCCCTTTTCTGCCCTCCCCCTCATCCTTCTCCTTATATAAGCCTCCCTCCCCATTTCTCCTCCTTTCTTGTTCTATTTGTCTATGTTCTGCTATCCCCCTTCCTTAAGATCCTGGCTTTATTGAACTCTCCATTCTGATTTCTAACAGCCCTTAGTGTCTTCCCCTGAAAGTTAGTAAAAGGCTGATCTTTTTTAGATCTTTTTTTTATCTGACATTAACTAGAGTATTTTAGATGATTTGTTTTATAAATGAAAGTCTCTAAGGTTTATAATGATTCCCAAAGAGGCATTAGGTCATAAAGGGGAGGGGAATTAATTAGTACAGTAATCACACTAAAAATGTGGCTTTCCTTTGTTAATTTTGCATTTTTCCTCATAGTTTTATAGTGGTTTTACCTGCCAGTCTAAATGTCCTTTGTTCATTTACTTTTCCTCAGTAGCGCATGCTCCTTAGTGGTATAGTACTAAGAATTTTCTTCCAGTTTTAATAACTCAACAAACATTAGCTCTTTGTTCCTTTTATCTCATATAAACAGTTACTGCTGTGATACTACTTAACCATTAATAGTAGTTCTTCTTCCTCCTCCTCTTTCTTCTCTTCTTGCAGTCCTGTAAATACTTTCTTTCTTCCGTCTTAACTATCTTATCTTCATTTGAGTGTTTCAAGTATAGAAAATGATTTGAACTAATTAAACGTATAGGAATTTGTACTAGTAGTAAAGATGTGAATAGATACGTGGTGCTTATTTCAAGATGAGTTCATCTTGTCTATCAGACCCTATCTCATCTTCTTGAGATATGATTTTATCTCAGAATCTGAAATTCTCCTTACCTGTAGTTGCTAGTCTGGAGGCAGTAGTTGAATGACTACTGCAATCAATGCGGATTCTTGATCAATTTCCTGTTTTTAAGGAAAAGTAGTATGATCATATTAAATACAACTTAAAATCAGAAGAAGGAAAAATAACTTTTAATCTTAGCTAACAGGCTACTTGTTAGGATTTGGGTAGTTTTCAAATTCATTTCATGTAGTATGACTCCCCTCTACACACTGTACCTTTAGCATTGCCTCTCGTGTTATGTCCTTTATGATTACAACCTTTAGTGGCCACATACTAGTTTATTGTGTATTACTTATGATAAAGGTGTAGATGGCATGCTGTTTCTTTAAACACAACTTTTAAGGATAAACAGTTACTGTTTTCCTTTGATACTTTGAGATTGGAACTCACATAGCCTAAGGTTGACCTGAAACTCTCTATACAGCAAAGTAGCTCGTTATTCCTCTGCCCCTACCTTCCAGGTGCTGGAAATACAGGCTTGTACCACCTATACCCAGCTTGGGAAAAACAATAATTGTAATAAAATTATGCACAGCTTTTGACCTTGTTGTTATAAAATTGGTACCTATCGTTTTTGAATATCATGTGAAACTTGAAGGAATTGGTTGTTACTTGAGATAGTAGAGAAATATTTCAAATTATTAGAAACAAACAGGATAATTACTTACTGTTGAAAAAAAAGAAGTTTTTGTTTTTGTTTTTTTGCCACAAATCTTAATGTTAAAACTATATTCTCTTGTAGATCATGGAGCTTTGTGGTGCGACAAGGCTTGGTTATTTTGGAAGAAGTCAGTTCTACATTGCTTTGAAGCTTGTAGCTGTTGCCCAGTCTGGTTTCCCATTAAGAGTGGAAAGTATAAACACAGGTAAATATGCAGTACAGGAGTAACCGAATAATATTATTCTCTCAATTAAAAATGAAGCCAAAGTCAATGTACTTAGGAGTATTTCTGATATTATAATGGCCTTTGTGACCTCAAAGTGTTGTGACTTACTATTAATGTGTGAAAATATTAGAAAACCATTCCAGTATATATCTGTTATGCTGAAGAGTATGCTTAACCTGCCAATGTATGCCATGCTTTTTAAATTTAAATCTTACTTTTATTTGTGTATGAACGTTTGGCCTGCGTGTAAGTCGATGCATCATGTGTGGCTGGTGCCTGTGCAGGTCTGAGATGGTGTTGGATCCCCTGGAACTGGGGTTGAGGATAGTTGTGAGCCACCGTGTAGGTGCTGGGAATTGAACCACAGTCCTCTGCTAGAGTAGCAAGTGTTCTTAACTGCCAAGCTGTCCTCCAGCCTTCTCTGCCTTCCAGCTTCCTCTAAGATACATATTTGATAACAATGTTAAAATGAGTGTCTGTCAGAGTTCACTAAAACTTGCCCTAGAAAGAATTTAGGTAAATACTTTAATAAAGGTAAATGATAAATATTAACCTCCATTATATAGCTTATTTTATTTTTTTCTACGTGTGTGTGTGTGTGTGTGTGTGTGTGTGTGTGTGTGCACGTATGTGTGTCCGTAAGTGTGTGTGGTTGGTAATAGTAAATCTAGGGTCTTAACCTATGCTAGTCAAGTGTTTTCTCTGTGAGCTATAAGCCTAGTTCTCATTTTGCTTTGAGACAATGTCTTACTAAGTTGCCCAGGGTGGCCTCGAACTCATTTTGTAGCTTAGGCTGGCCTTGAGTTTGCTGCTTTCCTGCCTCAACATCACAAGTAGCTGAAATTATAGGACTAAGCCACCCAGCTTCTTTTTTTTTTTTTAAATTTATATTGCTGTGTTTTGTTTAGAAAAATTCAATTTTAATTTAGAAAGTATTAATAAGACTCTGGTTAGAGAGTTGGCAAGATGACTTATTAGCCACTAAAGGATTTAAGCCATTGGGACCACTTGGTAGAAGGAACGAACAGACTTCCACAAAGTGTCCCTTGACTTTGGTGCTCATGTGAATATAGATACACACACACACTTACAGGGAGGGAGGGAAAGAGGGAGGAGAAAGAAAATAAACAAGTAAATGTTAAAAAAGAGCAAAACCAAGCCATTTGTGGTTAATAGAGGTAACATTAAAGAAGTATTAGCAGGCTCAAACCTCATTTGCCCTCCTTATAATGTTTGCCTCAGATAATTTTTTTTTGCTGTTATTAGAGGCTTTTGATGTAAAAGAAAATAAACATTCTATAAAGAGATGCCTAAGTATGTTTTATATTTTCCATGGAGAAAGGGGAAAAGAGAAAGTATGAATTTCTGTTCTGTTCAGATACTTTAGTCAGTCTTGATGTGTAGCCTGGGCTGGCCTCAAACTCAGGACCTGGAACTCCTGTATGCTGAGATTTTAGGTGCTTTACCAAAAGGCCTGATGAAACAGATCTATTAGTAGCTTAGCTTCCTGTCATCTGGCAGTTTTCACTATGGTCCTCTGGCTTACCACCTGTTACTCTGCTTGTATTGAAAACTTAAATTCTCAGAGAATTCTTTGGCTTCTTCACATACACACTAGATATGCTTAGCAGTCTTATTCCTTCAGGTGGAGTTCTATAGAGAAGTAAAGAGCCATGTCAAGCTTGAGGGTCACACGTCTTTAATCCTAGTGCTTGGGAGGAAGAGGCAGGCAGATTTCTATGAGTTCAAGGCTTGCCTGGTCTACATAGCAAAGTCTAGGCTATCCAGGACTACATAGTGAGACCGTTTCTCAATAAAAATAAAATAAAATGAAAAATGAGATGAGATGAAGGTAATTATGTTGGCCAAAGTACAATTTATGTTGAAAATGTAGTTGTATTGTTCTAAAGTATGAGTTATGGTTAGCTTTCAGACACACTGTAAGTTTTTATCCTCTATTCAAAATTTATGGAGGATATTGGCAGTAAAAGAAAAATAAGCCAGACTGAAATGGGTAGATAGAATGCCATGTACTGGGCATGGTGGTGAGCACACAGGGAGTTTTCCTCTAAATCAAGCTGGTCTTAAACTTCAATCCAGGCTATAACATCTTCCTTAAAACACCTAGGACAAGTAGAAGAGGCCTCAATTCAGCAGTCTCAGAACCTCAGGTTCTTTGTAAGTAGGAACTTGGCAGGACTGATGCAGTTATTACACATACGCACGCACATGCATACGCACACGCATACACAGTACACATTTAAGAGATGCCAGCCTGTAAAATCCATGCAAATATTCCAGATTTTTTTTGTAAATTTCTGAAATTTGAAACACATTTGTTCCCCAATATTTCAGGTAAGAAATACTGAACATGTAATCATTTTTGTGGTTAACAGTAAAGGATCTTCCTCTTCCACGATTTGTCGCGTCAAAGAATGAACAAGAGTCTCGCCATGCAGCCTCGTATTCTTCAGATTCTGAAAACCAGGGCTCTTATTCTGGTGTGATACCCCCTCCTCCTGGCAGGGGCCAAGTTAAGAAGGGACCTGGAAGCCATGATGCAGTTCAGCCTCGTCCATCTGCAGATCAGCAGGTAGTTATATGCATGAAAATGTCAGCCAATGTCCTGAGAGAAGTTTACTTGCAAACACTTGTTGGTATTTGATAAATTAAAATGAAATTCTTTAAAGGGCATTTTTCCCCTAGGACCCTGCATCTCCAGTAGTTTCACCTCAGCAGTCCCCACCAACCTCTCCACACACATGGAGGAAGCACAACCGCCATCCCAGCGGGGGGAACAGTGAGAGACCTCTTGCAGGACCAGGGCCATTCTGGTCTCCTTTTGGTGACGCACAATCAGGTATTTAGAGATTCTTTAGACATACCGTGTTTTTAACTTTGAAAATTAAAGGAAAATCATAACATTTCCCTAAGAATTATTCCCAAGTCATTGTTTCTTATGAATTAAGTTAAATGGAAACAGATTCAAGTATGAAATTTGTAGGTAGACACATAGCTTTGGATAGTAGCAGTTATATCTGTGATACTTAGGCAAAAACTTTATGGATGCCAGATACTCTGATGGTGAGATGAATAATTATTTCCTATGATACTGTATATGTAGAGCTTCTAGTACTCACAGGAAAGCAGAACACGAAGAAAAAGCTTAAAATTCAATATTTTTAATCAAGCAAAAAAGGTCTCCCTTTCTTTAAAATAAGAGATCAAAAGGAAACTATCTCAATGTATACATGATAGTTTATTGACACCGTAAGTCAAACCTGTTAACTTCTTATCTTTTCAAATATGAGTCAATGTGGTCATCCATTCTCCTTTTAGGCTCTGCTGGCGATGCTGTGTGGTCTGGCCACTCCCCGCCTCCACCTCAAGAAAACTGGGTCAGTTTTGCAGATACTCCACCAACCAGTACTCTTTTAACCATGCATCCTGCTTCTGTCCAGGTGTGACATTTTATTGGAATTGCATTTTTATTTGCTTCATTCTAAATATCACTGCTATCATTGTTTTTATATTTTGCTGTTTCGGATTTTGCTAATGCAAGTTCACTTTTATTATAAACAAATTGAGAACTCTGCTTTGTGGTGTCTCTTTAAGTCTGTCACCCATGGGATGTCTCACTAAGTTTTAGAAGATTTTCTTTCTGTTTCTAATTCCCTAGGAAAGTTTTAAAAGATTTCTATATCTGGGAATATATTCGTTTGGCTTTCTTAGCACATTTTTTATAACTTTTCTGTTGCTTACATAAATGCTATCATTCTACATGTTGATATACTCACTGCAAAAACATATCCAATAACCTGATCATAACAATATGTTGTTTGTTGATAACTTCTTACCTTTTAAATATCCTCAAAAAAAGTAAATTTTCATGGAAAAGTAACCTAGCAATCATAGTCCATATAAGCATATAGATAGAAACTATACTGAGGAAAAAAAAATGTTTCATTGCAGGACCAGACAACAGTACGAACTGTAGCCTCAGCTACAACTGCCAATGAAATTCGTAGGCAATCCAGTAGTTATGATGATCCCTGGAAAATAACAGATGAACAAAGACAGTATTATGTAAATCAGTTTAAAACCATTCAACCTGATCTAAACGGATTTATTCCAGGTGAGTCGTTGAAAACAGAAGTTCTTCTAGATGGGCTCAGACAAGTCTCAATTTCATTATCTCACAGATATGTTTTGTTGATTTTAGATTTTAATTATTGCTCACAGTATGTGTCTAACAGGACTTTATAGTCACTGGGAAATAAAACATGACATATTTTACATTATAATGTTACCTTTTCCCAGCCTAAGACTGTCACCTCTTATTCTTGGATCTATGTGTTCAGAATAACATTAAACAAAACTGTTTTAATATTTCAGGATCTGCAGCTAAAGAGTTTTTTACAAAATCAAAACTTCCTATTCTTGAACTTTCTCATATTTGGTAAGTGTGGTATATCACTAGTTAGTTCATGTGGGTTGTTTCAAAAGAATTTCTAGCACAGTTTTAAACTTTGAGAACTTTAAAGCTAGGACTAGATTTGACCTCTTTAAAAGGTGCTGTTAGAGAACCCAGTGTAGCTGAGGACAGTGAGCATTTCTTTCTGGGAATGAAATAAATGGATTAGTTAGAGAAATTCTTGTGAACTAAAACTGAAGGTCTGTTGTCTTTCTTTACTGCATGGGAAAAGCTGCTGCTTTGCCTGTGTCAGTTTCTCTTGGTTTTCATCAAGTTAGTGTCTAGGTAAAAGAGTAAGAACAATGTTTAGCTCTCATGGTGAACATAGACTAAGACTCTTGGGATAGCTGCCACATAATTGGAATTAGTCTTTGGAACACAAATTGTAACTACAAATAACTTTTAAAAGTGGAATTAACACATAAACATTATTTCTACTTTGTATCATTATTCTTCTTTAAGGCCAGGCTTTGTAATCTCAGCTTTCAGGAGACAGAGATAGGAGTATTGTGAGTTTAATGTCAGCCAGGGCTGGATAGTGAAACTTTGTCTCAAAAAGTAAAACACATATACATGGTTTTGGTGTAGGGGACAAGGACAACAGGGCAGAGGCTGTATTCTCCTAAACTTTAGCCAGTCAATTTTCTTAAAGTGTAAAACTTTTGAACTTTGATAATAACATAATTTTAAATAATTTCCATGTTTATTTTACATATGCTCTTTGAATTAAACTCTTAATAAAATACGTGGGAATTAAAGGTAATATTTTGATGACTTTAATTTTGGAGTATATTTTTCCTGTTTTACTTTGAGAATGTCAAGCGTGTAGGAATGTTGAAAGGATCATACCATAAGCATTCAGATATCTGTCGCGTTGATTCCTTGTTATAATTTTGATATATTTGCTTTGTTAGACCTCTTCGCACATAAGGGATTTAAAAAAATTGTATTTTAAACTTACTTGTGAGAGAAATATTTTGTCTTCTTTTTTGATACATGAGGGGCTCCAAAGCAATGTGGTGATAATGAGTTTGTCTTCCAGGGAACTCTCAGACTTTGACAAGGATGGCGCATTGACCCTGGATGAGTTTTGTGCTGCTTTTCATCTGGTGGTTGCTAGAAAAAATGGCTATGACTTACCAGAAAAGCTCCCTGAAAGCCTCATGCCCAAGCTGATTGATTTGGAAGATTCAGCAGGTGAGACTGGTAGCCATTGAGAGCTGGTTGTATGCTTTGATGAACATAGTATTTCATTTTGTAAAAGAATCAAGATGAATGATAAAATGAAGCTTAGTAGCTTAAACCTTTCTGTCAAGAGCACAGATGTGGCCAAGCATAGTAATGCATACTTTTAATCCTCCTATCCTAGCCTTGGGAGGTAAAGGCAGGCAGATCTCTGACTTTGAGGCCAAACTGTTCTATGTATGCTTTCCAGGCTGGTCAGGGCTTCATAGTGAGACCCTGTTTCAAATAAATGAATGAATGGATAGATAGATAGATAGATAGATAGATAGATAGATAGATAGATAGAT